GAAAAAAAAATCCTTACCCATTAAAATTTTGGCCCACAACAAAAGGTTACCTGCCGAAATTCGCTCCCGGAAGAAGGCCAAACCCCAAGGAGGACCAGTGTCGGAATCCTGCACCCCCCACAGGACGTCCTCCAACTTTGATACGTCAAAGCTGATCGAAAAGTCAATTTCGTCGATAGCCTCGTCGGTAAAGCTTATTATGAATTCCTGATGATCCCCAAGTTTATGCGCTCAACCATTCCCTCCCAGATTCCTCGACTTTGATTGTAGAAAGCGATTTGGCCCCTTTCAACCGTCGCTTGTAGAAGCGAAATGAGTAAAGGTGTCCTTCCTTTGCGTATCTTCATACAGGAAACTTTGAGACGATCAAGGACTAGCTACTCGACTCTTCAAGTCGCTTTGTACTACCTGATTTTGATCAAACCTTTTGTACCGAAGACCGATTTCACCATGGAGCAGCCGGATGATGCGCAATCATTCAGAGCTTTACAATGTGGTCGAAGAATGTTTTTGTCTGCGCTTATTCTCGCTTCGAAATATTTGCAAGATAGAAACTACTCGTCGCGCGCTTGGAGTAAGATTTCTGGATTACCAACTTTAGAGATTAACCAAAACGAAATAGCCTTTCTCCTCGCCGTGAATTGGGAGTTGCACATAACAGAAAAAGTCTTTCAACGTTGGACTGACATTGTTCTCAACTACACACCGTCGTCGCAACCTCCATCCTCAGGCGCTTCTTTAAGTATTGCAGAACAGTCTGTCGAATGGAAAAGAATTGTTCTACAGCTCAACCCAGAATTGGATAACATTAAGGAAATTACAGGACCTCAAAAAGAAGTTTGTGGTCTTCCGCTAAGACCTTTCACGCCATTGTCTGCTTATCATTTCCCTGGTTCTAATGAATCTACTTCGACCCCGAAGCAATATTCTCCTAACATCATGGAGCCATCACCTTCAGTTGCTTGTCCCACTAGTAGACCTGCACCCGCTCTTGGTCTTCTCCCAACACCACGATTGACTCCCCAGAGTTCTGGATACAACACTCCTGCTGTGAGTGCTGCGTCTTATATGCTTGGCAAATCCTCGATGAGTCTCGCTATGACACAGACAAGCTTTTGTGGTCCTCAAGCGACTGAAAAGTGGACAACTCAATTTACCTCATCTCCACAAGGATATTCTTGTAATCGTCGATCATCTTTGGCCAATTCTGTCTCGTCAATGTCTTCACCAGAATCAATGATTTCGGATACTTCCTCAAGATCATCTCGTTCATCTTCAATCTCATCTGCATCGTCATTGACGAGTGCGCCGGTCCCAGCAAAGCTGGATGTCCTGGCGCGTTGTCGATATGCGAAGCTGTGTAGTAAGAAGCAGAATAGAAATGTTGTTGTGACAGTAGCAGAGATTTGTGGAACAGACGATGAATTTGTTGCCGATGCAGCCGAGAAAGCTGCGGAAGCTGCACGTGCTTTACAAGAATTGCACAGTCAACCAAGATCCACAGATTCGCCCAACAAAGCTGGTGCTAAAAGAAGTAGGACTCATTCACTTGATGTTTCTCTTCATGAAAATGTACGGGAACTGTTGGCTGGAAGCGTGGTCCGCGACTCGGAATGTCTAGCTGGTTTTGTTAAGTCAGATGGACAAATTGGTGCGCAAATAATGCCAACAGGTTCATCTGGAAGAAAGAGACTTTGTTGTGCAACAGAAGCTGCTCGAGGACTTGCTCAATCAAATATTTACCCAGTTTTTAATCGCCCGGGAATGTGGGATGGAATACTAAATTAATACACCTTACCGACTTATACATACACTACAAACACACTTGTCATAACAGATTTTCTTTTTCGTTTGTCTTTTTTAGCTGGTTTGCAAAAGAGACAGTGCAATTATCACATCTTCAGCCCTTTTCGCATCATCACATACCATGGGAGTTGGATTTTAGATGGCGGGATTGCTTTACCGTTGATCATTTTATTGCAAAGCTGGAATTCACATCAATGGTACCTAGCTAATTTTCATGGAGATGGGGAATAAGGGGAAGGAAATTGGGGGCATATATCGACAGGTTTTTGGGGATGCTTGTACGATGGTTGGCGAATGCTGGCTTTGTTTTATTGGGGATGGGAGAATAAAGGGTGGAATATATGCTACGCGATGGGAACTTATATCAACATTGTGAAATGCAGGTAAGGGGGAGTGGGATGGCGTGGATATGGAATCGGCGGAGTTTTTTCTTTTTTTACCTTAACTTTTTATTGAGTCATTACAAATATGGTATGGATGGATTTGAGCTTGAATGAGTAGGGAGTGTTGATGTAGTGGTGATGGTATGGTGCTGAAGTTGAAACGGTGGACGTGGATATGGCTGAGAATGAAGATGATAGGGATTTGTCAGGTCATAGGCAAATGTTCATATCGTATTAAATAATTAAATATGCTTGATCATTGGATCTTGACGTATTGATTTATCTATCTACTTTATCTATCTACCTAATCTACCTACTTATCTCTGGAGTGAGTGTGTGCGAGTGTGTGTGTGTGTGAAGTTGTGTGGAGTTGATGTGTGATAAGGTATGTATGATTGATTATATACCTAGTATTTATATAGTAAGTCATGCATAATAGATATCCTCTTCCATCCATCCATCATCCCTTTTTATTTCGGATAACTTTTTCCTTTTCTTCTTTGTTTAGGAATAGGAATAGGAATAGTTTGCGAGGGAGGCAGTGAGGGAGGAAGGGGGGATTTGGAGAGGATGAGGGAGAGGATGAGGGAGAGGTAGGAATTAGTGGATGATTGTGGTCAGTAAAAGTTTATTATTATTATTATTGTTATTATTACTATTTTTATTTTATTTTATTTTATTTTATTTTATTTTATTTTATTTTATTTTATTTTATTTTATTTTATTTTATTTTATTTTATTTTATTTTATTTTATTTTATTTTATTTTATTTTATTTTATTTTATTTTATTTTATTTTATTTTATTTTATTTTATTTTATTTTATTTTATTTTATTTTATTTTATTTTATTTTATTTTATTGGTCTTATATGTTACGAGGTTTGCTGTCTAGTGTTACGTTGTAACATTATAACTATTATCACGTGTTATAGGATCACATGAATAGTCTTGTGAGGGAGCGAGGGAGCGAAGTGTCACGATTCATTAATTCACGTGACCTCAAGGACCTTTTGGACCTTAGGGTCCCAAAGGTCCTCAAAAGATGATATAGGGTATATAAACATTCATTTAGTCTCGTAGTTAAGGAGCTTTGTGCCCAACTTAGTTATCAATTAGTTTACCTACATTCTACTTGATCTAGTAACGACTTCACTTCCAAGTGAAGACCAGTGATAAAGCCTTAATCTACAACTACCAACCAGACGAAACCTTAGGCAGCCGCTGCCTCCAGTATAGTATCGTTACACATAGCTCCAATGTTGGAATACGAAGGTCTATATAATCAAGATGGATTCCCTTTGTATAGAGCTTCGTGCTCAAGATCAAGATCAATCATTTAGTATACTCTACTATTAGTTACGAATTGCATTATTGTCATTACTTTAAGTCCCTGCTTGACGCCTGGTTATAAACCACCTCGAGAGCCTAGAGTACTTCCACGTGATCTAGGCGGCTACCCTCGTAACACTTTATAGGATTAAAACATAATTAATGTTAAAAGGAATGACCTCACACAGGGAATAGTGGGAAGCTGATAGGGCAGAACTGAGGTAATATTGGTCTAGTAGGTAAATCTCTCTTCTAAGTTCTACGGAAGTGCGAAGCTCTCTGTAAGAGAGCTTCTCAATCTAGTCCTAACAGGACTAGTGCCCTGTGCACGTGCTACGCAGGAACCATTCACTTTAACAATTAATAATAAATTTTATTTAAAATAAACTATTTTCTTTTTTCTTATTTTATTCTTAGAGATAGAAAGGAGTACATTATTTTAATCATTAAATATAGAATAAAAAGTCTTTACTTTTCAATCATTAGAAGCGGGATAGGACAGGAAAGAAAGAGGAAGGGAGCGCTGAGGAGGGGAAATTAAGACCACTAGCTTTGAAGCTTTAATAAATCATAAGTATATAATAGACGATATTTCATCTAAGCCTTCAGACGGCAACCTGGAATTTTTAATACTAGACTACCTGTCTTATTCAAAAGTTTTATAATAATTAGACCTTCCCAAAGTCCAAGTTCAAATACATCACAGACTAATTAGCATGTATACGAATACAGTAAGACTATTGAACAAACTGCTTGATATAGAAGAGAAAAGGAGACGAAGGATTACAGAAGAATAGATGGAGAAAAATACCCAAATATTACACTAGCGGACTTATTGATCATCTGGCAGTTTTCTCTTCAAGGGACCCAACGATGTGGTATATATCATGGTCAGATAAATAGATGGTTATTTTGATTAATTACAATCTGAGATTGAAATATAATTACTCAATGGGTGTAGGAGAGATTATCTAAAAACATATTCATAACTTAAGTCCCAGAAGTAGAGTCGGAGTAGCAAGTCCTGGCAGCATATCTGGGAATGACTTTTTCAATACAAATATGTATATCCATATAATACATAACACCATCAGAAATACAGCAAGCAAGTAATCAAATCTCCGCGGGCTTAAATGATCAAGGTGAAGAAAGCATAGATATAAATAGACTCAAGGATAAGTCTACAGAGAGAGCATATGAGAGCGATTTAAAATTTCTAAGACTTATTACATACATAATAATATCGCAATGTGCGCAAATATCAGACACGCAACAAAAAGCTCAAAATTTTCAGTAATAAATCTCGAAGTATAATGAATGAAGAATCTAGAATATTTATTTGGAATAATAGAAATAGAGTTGTTTTCAGAGCTTGAAGATCAAAATAATATCTTCCAAGAGTTAGATTATGAGAATACCCAATGGAATCATTGAATTTTGTGGGATTTGCTGAAAATATGGAGCTCATTATGTACCGGTGGGCGGCGGATGGCATTCAAGACTGACTTAATGTTATTAGTGTGGGGATGAGGCTCTGAGATTTGACGTGTAGATCAGATGGGGAAGGAATGATTATTCGTTTGATGAGGGAAGATATTGAGAAATTATGCATGTATGTATCTGCTCAGTTGGTTGTGAAAGAAATGGTGAGAGATTGGGGATATTTCTTTGCTAAGTTGAATAAGATTTGTATGATTCTATATCGATGATCGGTATGAGAATTTTCGATTCGTTTTGTATATTCTCACTAAAGGATGGAGTATGGAGAGATTGGGTTAGTGAGGCTAGAGCACTAGTCTATCCGTTCATTGGCTAGAATGTCGAACGTTTGAACACTATTTCGTTTAAACTTGAATCTTCATGACGGGTAATCTATGATGTGCTTTTTTCGAAGTCGAGAATGATTATATCCATCTTGAATGCTCACATTTTTTGCTATATGAAAACGCAGTTTTCTTCAGGATCCAATATGAATTGGCCTTCCTGACTAAAACTATCCCATTATAAGAGCCATATGAGTTAAATCGTAACTAATATATACTTCCAAAGACTTGAAAATATTTCTTACGAAACATTTACACCATAGCTTTAATGAAGCAAGTGTATCTATCACCTGACTCGCCGGAAGCAACCGGTTCCTTTAGTCTCTATTAGTTCACAAATATCGGCCATCTTTCCCTCTACTTCTCCAATCCTCAATCTCGAAATACTCAATCGCTGAGTCGTTTTTCACTAAAGATATGAACAAGTGTCAACACATCTTTAGTATCCCTCTTAGAGATCAGAGATAGATGGATCTTGACCAAACTTAGCTAGATTATATCCAGTAGTCCCAAAAAAGAGAAAGCATCTTTTCAAACGGACTCGATCGCGTCATTTGTAGCTTTGAAGGACTCAAAAAGTTTCTTATGGAATCTTATAAAGTCTTTCACTATCCCCTGCTTTTGAATTTTCTTCATCCCCCAAAAATTATCGACAGAAAACATCATCATTATCATCATGTATTTCTCGAAGTCTGTTATCGCTGCCATTATGGCCTTCACCTTAGTACAAGGTACTTCAATTGTAAGTTAACGCTCCGTGTATATCATATGAACACCGTTAACAATTCCCAGCAACCTCGCTGTGATGAATGCGGCGGTAAAGGCAAATTAAATAGCGACGAACGAACCGTCTACGTGGGGCCCCCTGGTGACGCCAAAAGGGTTTTCGTACGTTCCATTCTACTTCAATTTATCTTGACCACTGGCCAGAAGGCCACAAATTTACTTACCTGCTAACTCATTACTAGATTTTTCCCTCCCACGAAGCTTGTACGCAGGGTAAGCTCGATAAACGTTTCCATAGACTCGTAATCCCTGAATATATGCTCGAGGATCGATGCAAGCCTATCAAGGAGTTCTGTAGAAAATGCCCTACAAATGAGAAATTTCAACCTGGAGGAGCCTTATTTGGCAAGAACCCTCATACAATGATGGGAGAGGAAATTGTTCGCGCCTGCGGAGATCATTGTGGAATCACCTACCCTGAAGATGATGGAAATATTAACGTCGAAGGGGCAAAGGAGGTTGCGGAAAAGACAGCAGGAGAGAACACAGTTGAGGAGGAGCCTTTCGAGCAGAAGCCAGCTGAGGGTAAGTTAGTGGAGCTAATTGAGGAGAAGCCAGTTGAGAAGGAGGCAGCTGAAGAGGAAGAAGCAGGCGAAGAAGAGGAATCAGATGAAGAAGAGGAGTTTGTTGGAGAAGAAGAGCCTGTTAAAGAAGAGGAGTCAGCTGAACAGGATCCTGTTGGGGAAGAGGACTCGATTCAAGAGGAGCCTGTTCCAGAAGCCTGTTCCAGAGGAGCCTGTTCAAGAAGAACCAGCCCAAGAGGAATCAGCACTAGTACAAGAAGAACCTGTTCTAGAGCAGCCTGTTCAAGAAGAACCAGCCCAAGAGGAACCAGCAACAGTCCAAGAAGAACCTGCTCAACAGGAGCCAGTCGAGAATGTCCTTAAACAAAACCACAGTGACGCAGATGTTAGTGAGGGAGAGCAGAAAGGTGCCTGCTCCGCCGAAGGAATGTTCAACTGTATTTCCGGATCCTCCTTCCAGCAATGTGCCAGTGGCAGCTGGAGTGTCGTACAAAACCTAGCTCCCGGAACCGTTTGTACCAGTGGCCAATCATACGGTTTGGGCATGAGGGCAGCGGCTTAAAAGACACAGTAGTTAGCTCGGGAATCATCTACTTTCAGGTATTCAAGATCAGAAGGGAGGCAAGGAAGATGTGGATGGAAAAGTAGTCTAGAAATTTGAATAATATTGGGGGATTGTAAAGGAGAAAAGCAAGAATAGGAGATGCATGATGTTGATAGGTCTTGAGATTGGAATTTCTAGAGATTTAAAATCCAATGGGACTTGAGAGTGATAATCGTGGTTTTTAGGTTTATTTGATCTTCGGGTAGGAATGGATTTATCAATGCTTGTGAATCAAGAATTACCGTGCCTGTGTACCCTCGCTTTCATACTTGTTAGGTCCGGCTGCAATACCTAAGGGTTTGATTGGATACTATTTCAAAAGCCCGAGTGAACTGACCGACGGAAACCTTCGACATGGTTCATTAATGATGAATAGAATACGATATCCAAGTCTTAAAATGAAGGTCCGATGTTTCTAGTGCGTTTAGCCATTCGAAAATCAAATAATCGTGATCAACGACCAAAGCTTGAAGAAAGACCAACAATCCCTCGGTTAGCCGTTTTGTCTCCACTTGGCACCGCACCTCCACCCAAAAAAGTGCGTAACCAAAAGGCGATGGTAAAAAAACGTGATAAAGCCTCAAAAAAGCCTCAAAAAAGCCAAAAAAAAAAATAGCAAAAACATAATTCTCTCAGGCGTGAGTCGAACACGCGACATCCAGATTACAATGAACAATTACAGTCTGACGTCATAAACCAACTAGACGACCGAGAGTGATGATCGAGTGAACTCAATCTGGTCATTTTACCATTGAGGCAAGTTGTTGTTAAATTGGTGCTTTAGTTTATTATATATTGTGTGTGCTAGATTGCCGACCAGCGGGAGAAGTGGAAGGTCAGGTGAAGAATTACGTAAGCCGAGATGTGGGGATTTTGGTGGACTTCAAGCCCACACCATCGGATTTAGAAAATAGCTCTCCTGCACATTGTCTCACATCTAAAATGAAAGATAGATGTATCTACAAACCGGAATTCAACAGGACAAGAGAACCCAATATTAGAAGAATTATGCATAAATCGCAATTAGCCCCCAGCTCATATTCGAAATGGAATTCAACAATCCAAGGTCTCCTAGCTTCAAAGTTTCCTGGCATTTTTTCAACATGCCATTTATTGTAGACAGTCAAAAAAACTATTCATGTTTAGAATTCGAAAAGCTTGTATCTTATTTGGGTCTGTGATTTATTTCATACCATTCCAAATTGCTCAAGTGGTCAAGCGCTCAAGTCAATCTTACGAGTGTATAATCAAACTGAGTACGTTTGGATGAGTACATTCGATTATATCTAAAACGACGTCCGCCGTCCGCAATAGCATATTATGTGCCAAGCTTTCAATATCTGAAAGTTATGGATCTGAGCCAGTGGGTCATCTATGTCATAGGTGAATGAATTGGTCAAATCAAATGGGTTGAATCGTTTGTGTTTCAGTTGATTTAAGAATAATAAGATTCTGCTCTGTTGCGGTAACAATGCTATTCACTGCATTCATTGTACAGAGTCTCCATTTCAAAGCGGGGCCAACCTGGAAACAAAATCCGCACCATATACTCTCGACAAGTAGGAGCTCAGAGACTCCATTTGGTGGTTGTCAATCGGTGCTGCAGCTGTTGAACACATTCTTATCTTGGGTACTTTCCACTCCAACATACGCTTGCCTTCGAACTTTCTCAATTCCGGTACGATCTTGTTTTGGTCAATTTTGCTCTCATCATCTACTAACGCAGTCAATCTCATTTCAGCCCTCAAGTGATTCATCATGTTGATTAGGACCAGTTCCTCCAAGTCTTTGAACTCCGAGAGAGCTGGTGGCTTCCCGAAGGCAGAGATAGATTTGGTCGCTTGAGGATTATAATAGGCCCACAGAATAAAGTCACGAAGAGTTGTGACCAGCTCTGAAGTGATCCACACGGCTATTCTTCGTACTAATTGTTTGTCTCTATGAAAGTCTTGGAACAATCGCTGTACAAAAGAGAAGTACTGTACTTCTTCGCCAGTACTCCAAATTGTGTCGAAGTATAAAGTATCCACCGCGAAATTGACCAACGGTGGTTTCTCATGCAGGTCGATCGACGCTGAATCAGCATCGAAAATAAGATTGAGTTCCACGTCCGAGCTAAGCCGAGTATAGAATGGGAGTAACTCATTCCGAGCTTCACGATTGATTTGCAGGAGGATGAGAGGTTCTGTCGCTCTGATATGATGTTTGGTGGTAAGGGGATCCCATGCTTTAGTCGGAGTTAGGCGGGGTCTGATTTCGATAATTCGTGGGAATAGATGAGGAGTGCAACGCCAAATTTTAAGTCGTATTTCGAGGGGGAGGTCGGGAAAGATGTCGAAAGTTTGTGTTTTTTCCTTGAGTGTGTTCATTGCATGCTAATATCTTTGGGAGTGATACATTGTGTTTGAGATGTATGTTGATGGATTTTGTTGATGTCAATAGATGTTACGACCTAAGCCAAGCTTAATTTCATGAGGGAAGGAACGAATTAATAATATTAGCACTTGTATTATAAATTTCAACCAGAAAAATTCTGCTAATGTAATGTCCTTTCCGTTTGTGCGAGTATGAAATTAATGTTAGCTCTATTCTTTGCATTTCTGGCCCGACCACTTGATCCATTTCCTTTGTTCGATCTCATTCATATTTTTCAACCGTCACTGTACTATACCTGCTAATAATAAGTCACATTCCCAATTTCTTACATAGCGATTTTTTCCGACACTGTCATCTCAAAATAAGATTACTCTGTACATCTCTTCTAACAACAAAAAAGAACAAAAAATAAATACCCAAAGTCATGTGCCCAATCCGTCTCACAAACTTTTTGTTGTATGTCTGAAAATTCAATCACTCTTTCAACCAGATATGCACCTCATCAGTGCAATTTTTGTATACTCTATATTGATTGAATTGGAATAAATGTGCTTCTCGGATTTATTTCTAGTGGGTTTGTTGTATTTTGGTAAGTCATAGCACGGTTTCGAGGTGGATTAGGCCGGGATGATATCGATTGAGGATATTTATTAGTCTTGCGTTTGCTGGGCTGTGGAGTTTCTTTTATGGGATATTATAGAGCGGTATTAAGACCTCTGCTGATTTGCATTGTTCAACATTCATCTGTGTTTCGCGTCGTCACCAGCTTCTTCACTTGAGTATACCTAGGTACCTAATGGCAAGTCTACAGAAATAAACAAGAGAACTACCGAATTAGGCGCATGCAGGTTTATACTTAAAATCCCAATGCATCTGAGAAGAAGATATGACGAGCGATGTCCAATGTTCCTTCCATTCAATCATGGAGATCTCTCCTAATATCTCCTTAAACCATATACTACCTTTTAAAGCTCAGGATAGTGCTTTCCTGTTTGCTAAGCTAGATAGATCTATTTATCAGAGGGATTACAGAGGAAATGGCAACCATAAGCCTGTATATATTTTCATCAATTGTAAGCACTTTTCTTCCACAAATACAGCATCACAATTATCCATTTTAAGATTACAAGCGACTTACCCGTACCATAATATCCAGTGTTTTATACCAAAAATCCGCAGAATCACATGCCCACTGTCAAACGTCCACAGTATAACATATCAGCCAGTATTTCCATAATTTGATCCTTCAACTTCGGACTACAACTTTTTATTTGAATGCTAGGATTTTGATTCCTTAGCTATAGCTTTCGCTTATCATTGGTATATTGAATAATCGAACTCTTTGACCCAACGCTCTTTGCAATCATGAAGGTCCCTCCATCTGAAGACTTCGATCTCGTTCCATTTGAAGGCTCAGAGGTAAGCCAAGCTGTATTTAATCAAAGACATCTTACCCTTACCCTAACACAAAACATAGAATGAAGAATTCAAGCCCCTTAATGAAGACTTTCCCATTGCTAGCGAAACATCCTCCGATGAGGATGTATGTCAAGTCTACCGCCACTACCAGATGAACATAATTCCCTGACGCACAGAGTAGGAATACGCGGAACTTAGCTCCAGCGCACCAGAGCTCGAACCCCCAGTAAAAAGCCCCGATAATTCGATTTTCGAAACGTTTAAATTAATGAAAGAAATTGATCGACTCAATTTCATATGTGGAGTACTCGAGAAGAAACTCGAAACGCTGACAGCAGCGCCTGAAAAAGCAAATGCTACGAATGATAATACGAATGATGGAGATGGAACCGATAGCGACTTCAAGGACGAAATTTCTGATTTTAGTTCGCTTGCTATAGAGAGTTTACGGGAAGAATACCACAGCAAACTCGAAACGGCATTTCGGAATGACAAAACTAGTGGAAATATCCCATGGATAGATACAGTTCCGTCATTAAAAAGTTTGAATGAACGTTTAGCAGAGTACGTAATGAACATGTCAACAAGAGACCTGCTAAAACTTCGAAGATGGATCGACCGGGTTTTCGATCAGGGTATAACAAATTGTCTACCGTATGGCTCTACTTCTGCAAGCAGGTTTGAATGGGAAAAAAAGTACAACAAGAATGGTCTGAATGATATTCTTCGTTTGATTCTGAGAGATCATGAGTCGCTTGAAGATTTAGATAAGCTTCGTAGACATTATGATGGGATTATCGGCAGGGAGATGGTGCTCCCATCCTTGAAACGCCGAATCGAGTCTGAAAAGAGGGAGAGTGTAGACTCTGTTGCGGAGAATAGCGATGTAGCTAAAGAAGTGGAATGATTATTGGAAATCCATGGGTTATGGGAATCATTCCTCAATCTTCTAGAGATTATACTTAGTTAGACTTCATAATGATCCTTTGCAGGATATACAGCCTCGTTTCGAATTAGTTTTAAATCATTCCATCGATATTCAAAGTACCCCAAAAGAGCTTCAGTTAGTATATTATCCCATGAACTCGTGCAAGACTATGAATAGCTGGATACGGAGTATGGCATGCTTGCTTTAGTGTCGGTGCCCTGGGCAAATCCGGCATTTGAGACGATTTCAAGAACCCATGCACATTCGCAATATCTTTAAATGCTGAAAATAGATGACCTATCAAAAGTATGTGGAAATTGTAAATGCTGACGTGAACTTCGAACAGAGAGAAGAGGTGTGTTGAGAATAGTTCGACGGATAGACCCTGAGCATCATCTTGCGTTGGAAGATGATATACGTAACTGGAGATTTATAGTCAATGAAATATCTTAAATTGGTGCTTTGAATAAATTACGAGGGCTAGACTAGATTACATAATTGAGCCATATAGGTTCTTGTGAAATGAGAATTTACATTGCGGTAAATGTAAACTTGGATGCTTTTGTCATCAACCAAAATCCGTGCGAGAATGATCTTTCCCTAGACATAATACCTTCCTTGTCACCCGGGTATCATGACATCATGAAGCACAATAGGATGTAGTAAAGATCCTCTCGATATACCAGCACACCGTAACACCACCCCTGCCAACGACTCCTATCCATAAGTCCAATCCTATATGTGATACCTACGCAGCAGCAATGCCCCTCATACGTCTCCTGGTCTCTAGCGTACCTTTTACACTGAAATTCGTATTATCATCTGGCATATGTTCACCACTCACAATAACCAGAACCTTCATTCTTGGATGGTATTTCAAGTCATGAAGTAATTTTGGTGTGATGAGGAAATATTGGCTATCATGCTCCTGACATGCGATCTCGACCATACGTCCATGGACCATTCGTTCATTACGAGGATCCATTCCTTGATTAATCTCATCAACAACGCGGAAAGGGGAGCGAGCAAGCGATTGTAAAGACATGAGGTAGAAAATAGTGGAGACGGAACGTTCACCTCCGGATTGGCGATGCTTGTCAAGAAGCTGAAGGGTCTCATTTTCTCTGGTTTGATGTTATTTGAATGGACTTGCTGTGAGCATTAAGGTATTGGAACTATACCTGAACTTGACCTTAATCTCAATCGCCCATTTTTCAAAATCGTCTTCTTTATACACACCAACTTCACCAGCACAACCAATTTGCTCAAAATTATGCGAGAATGCCTGACTAATTTGCTCAATAAGTGCATCAAGTTTTGGCTCCCATGTCCTCATGATCTGAGTAACCTTCTGCGTAACGTCCCCTAGTTCACTCTCGGTACTAGTGATCCTGGTGTTTAATCGGCTAATGTCAACCTGGCGTTTCTCATACTCTCGAATGGCATTCGGATTGTTAGCTTGAATGTAATTGAGTTTATGCTCCTCGCTGTTTATTTCCTGCTGTAGACTTTCCACGGTTCTATCCTCGGAGATATTGCTGAAGTATTCTAAAGACTCAGTGTCATTTCTCTCCTCGGCCTCCCTTCTGAGATTTCTGCAAGCATCGAGCGCAACTCGTGCCGTTTCAGTTGCCAGCTTTGATTGTGCTTCGATTTCCTGTAACCGTGTACGTTCCGCGTCAAGGTTTGCGACTATATCACGATTGCGCTCCCGTAAAGCGTGGGCATCCGAATCCGCTTCAATACGTCGAGCTTCGGCTTCGTCAAGTTCTTCGGAGCAAACCATGATCTGATTGATTTGCTCGATATGTTTCATCACATCTCCCCCTTTCTTGAGGCCAGCAACATCCTGCTCTTTTAGGATTGATTGAATCTCCGCCCTAGATTCAGAGCTAGATGATTCCAATCTCTCCAAAGACTCCTTCTCTCGAGCTGCCACTATGTCAATACATGCTCAAGTACATTCGTAATTCTACCACTCACCAAGCAGTCCAGGGAGAGCTCTTTGTTCACCATAAGCCTTTTGCTTTTGTTGTTTATCGGCTATAATCGCGTCCTGTTTTCGGAGTCTCGTTAGTAACGTCCCTGAGATCAGAATCGTTGCTCGCATACCTTTTCATCTTTTTTCGGGGTCATAGTACTCGAATATTGCTCGATCTTATCATTTATGTCCTTGTTTTCCTCCTTCAGGGCCTCGAATTTTCGGCCGAGTTCTTGGAGGTTTTCTTCGATCATACGCCGCCCCGAAGTGTCTACAACACCATCAATAAAAAATCTAGCTCGATTAATTCCCGAAGTTTGGGTTGATGATGCGTTATATTCTCTTCGCGTCGTGATCTTGTAAGAGGTGGTTTTCGTCACGAAAGAGGTGATCCCGGCGCGGATAATCCTTTCATGCTGTTCCTCGGTGACATCTTGGAGGGTGACGGCCGTCCTATGAGCTTTAATATCATTGCACAACATTGCAAGGACTGGCTCCGGGGCATCAATGAAATCAATAGCCCAACCATCAAGACCTATACTGTTCAATTCGGCAATAGTAGCTGACGGTCGCCCAATAGTCTCGGCTAGGGTCTGGGTGCTCATCTGGGTTCTGACTTCAGCCAACCTCATTTCTGCAGAATGGAATTGATCATTTAATAGCTTGTAATCAGCTTGAGTTTGTGCGGTGATGGTGAGCATATTGCTCTGACGGAACAATGATTCAACAGCATCGGTATATCTTGGGTCCTTCACAGAACATGTAATCAAAGGGGGCCCGTATACCTCCTTCTCAAACTGATTCGGGTTGTCCTGAACCCACTTCCAAGCCATCGCAGTATCTCTGGAATGCTGGGCAATCTTGTTAATTTGTCTTCCAGCTTGACTGTCGAAGTCGGCGAGGTCCTGCTTCGCCTTGTCTTGTTCGGCTCGTAGGTCTCGACCTTTGGATTTGAGTACTTCTCGGCTTTCTCGAAGCTCTTGAATCCTGTCTTGGATGGCTTTGATATCCTGCTCAATTGCTCTCTAAGGGGAAAATCAGTAATTGGTTTATAGGAATCAATGGGTCGGATACTCACAATGCGCTGATTGTACTCAACAGCATTGAACTCTATTTCAGGTTCTCGAAGTCGGGCTTCGAGGTCAATTATGGCCCTTCTAACCTTCGCTAAATCTTTCCTGCGTTTATCCTCTGCCTCCTGAACAACTTTTACTCTCCGATCGCAATCACCTATTTTGTCATCCCATTCCTCGACTTTCTTCAAAAGCTCATCTGCAGCTGCTTCCGCAAGTTGAAGGTTCTTCTTGCGATTGGAAACGGCCTTGGCTAACTTCTTCTCCAGCGAATCCTTCTTGTTAACTAGCCGCAAAGTCGGTTCGACCTGGCTCTCCAAAGTTTTAAACCGTTTTGTTGCTGCTATCTTCTCATTCCTACATTCCGTATGTCGAAGCCGTGCCTGTCTATATTCTACAAAGGGAATACTATTCTTCAGCTTCTCTAAGTTCTTCTCGATCTGAATACGCTCTTCGAGACGTTCCATTTCCGGACGCAGCCCTGCCTGTCGTTTTTCCAGATTGGTCAATTGTTCCTTATCTAGGTCGAGCTGCATTTGCCTCGATTTCTCCTCTTTTCTCAAATTCCTGAGCTCATCATGCCAGTCCAACATCTCTTGTGCAGCAACTGCTCTTTGTGTATGATGGAGGAGTTCGACAGGTGTCAATGCTGCAAACTCGGAAACTTTGTCCTGTGGTAAGAACTGACAAAGATTATCGATCTGAATGCTGAATCCTTTGACTAAAGCTAGAACATTTTTATGGCTTGCTCTTTTGTTGTTTATCCAAAATTCGCAATTATTCCCATCTTTAAGAATTCGAGTTTTGATGATATGATTCTCACGCTCGTTGCTTCTTTTTTGGAGCTCGATTTCGATGAATGCATCCTTTGAACCATGTTTGACGAATTCCCCGACTTTATCTGCCCGACCGAGGTGTTTTGGAGAAGAGCCCAAGCCCAAGCAGAGGGCACAAACCAAGGAACTCTTGCCCGTACCATTTGGACCAATCACCATGTTCAAATTTGGACCCGGGAAAAATTCAGCACTCTCGTAAGTAACAAAATTATTGAGCTTGACCCGAACTATAGCTCCCGGAGCGAATTTGCCGCGTCCCGATCTGATTGCGGGAGAGTCGGAAATGCCTCCGACCTTTCGTCTGTCATCTTCGTCTCTAGAGGATGGCGAAGTATCGGGCCTAGAAGTTCCTTCCTCAGATTCGTAATGTAATGTGCGAGATCTTTTCGCAGACTGCGCTGGTGTAGGATTTTCCGAACTGTCGTCATCATCGACTTCGGCCCTTGACCGACGCCTTCGAGATGACATTGTTTTGCTGTCACGTAGATACTAACTAAAGGGTGAAACAACTGTTTTGATTTTGAAGTTGAATGAACTAATCAGACAAAGGCTCCGTCATTCTTGATTTTAATACCATTTTTCGAAGAGTCGATGTTGCAATCAAAGAAAATTGGATTGCGCAAGACGCGTTAAACTTAGGGAACCGCGTTTAACCATGACCCTATTATGATTGAAGCACCCCCACCATTGATTACTGATCAAGTCAGCTGATTTCGCATTTTTTCAACTTCACCTCAAATTCACTTACATTTCTCATTTCATTTTGTCGCGGCTTTTCTTTTTAAGCCATACTGAATTTGATGTATGGACATCTTGGATGAGAATCACATGCCACAAAGCTATCTGTCCAACTGTGCGGAAGATTTAGTACTCAAATATTATAATCCTCAAGCCTTGGCGTAAGTAATTGTGCGGTACGTAGGAGGAAGAGGAGGTAAGCTGGATGAGCATGGTTTCTTTCTCTATTTATTGATCTAGGTAGCAAATTATAAAGAAGCTGGCTATCCATGGCCAATTGCCTGGAATAAATGGTTTTAATAGTTTTGATCTTCCGGCCTCAGTGAAGTAACTGGGAGAAACATAGGAGGCATGCTGGAAGAACTCTCTATTTAATTTCCCTAGGAATATCTATATACCAGGGTACCTATAAAGAAAGGGAGGGATTGCAAGACTGCAAGACATGCTTGTGCCAAGTTTCAAGTGATCAGTAAAGTCTTTTCACATTTCATAGTGTGGAGAATCTGAACTTGGATGCTTGCTCACTATATATACAAGCAACATCGATCATAAAGCACACAAGATATATATATTTTTATACCGCGTAAAGTTGCCTCAAAGACCGCGGGTCTCCTTTAATCTGAGGCCACACTTTACGTCGAGTTCACGAGCTGGCTATGAACTATATATAATGAGCCGTGACGGCCCAGATTGCTGGATGCATCCTTTGCTCTATCTCAGATCATAGATATTTCGGAGAATGATGAAAATAAATGGCATGGCAACTCAAAGAATCTCGGAAGTACTAGGTACTCTACCATAATCCGGACATAACCGAGCCAATAGAGATTTTTTTAAAGATCCAGTTGTGATTCTACATTCCTTTCTAAATTGGTCCTGCATGCTTTCATTTGTGGGGAATCTTGTATATCAACAAAACATCAACACAAGCAAGGCTTCACCACAGTAACTGCAATCTTACAATTCCAATATCTCTTGAGCGCCATTTTTCTCCTGGAAAATTCTTTAATGAGCTTCTTTTTTTACCCTCTCTTCAACAAAATATTAATTCGAGGTTCCTTTTCAATTCGCTCTTTCTTTGCCCACCGATACGTATCAATTTGACTTTTCCACCATAAGCTGCCAAAACAAACATACCTTTTCTAGTAGCTCAAATTTTTCACCTTGGTGGGTTTTCCTCACAGTCAAGATATGGCATCTTGATTTGACCATTATCAATGGATAACTGAGAATTTCAAGGGCTTTCGAACGCTTCATTTTTGGCACACTCGCTACCTGCGACACAGGGCTCTTCACATTACTATGTCCTTCTAAGCTCAGCACAGTCAAGTATCGTACTTGAACTACACAACTTTATACCTTTTGGTACATCAAAAGGACTGATTGATCCACATAAGAGTTGGGATCTAGTTTATGTTAAAAGACTTCGCTTAAATACAGCAGTTTATCATAAAAATGAGTGCACAACACGCGCGCCCACCGACTCGACGACCTCCTCTTGGAGAAGCAACTCGGCGGGTCAACAACAATCAATCGGGTAGCCAAAAGTTACAATCAAAATCTATACCAACAAATCATGATAGTTTACGACAAGACGGTTTACTACAAGTTTACAGCCAGGCTTCTCCTCCTCCAAGCGAACAATATTCATACCGCGACGATCCTCGAATGGGCTCTCCTGTGTCCAACGTCGTCAATCCTAGGCTCTCTGCTATATCGAAAGAGGCTGCGACGGATTCCAAACGAAGTTCTCAAATTTCGACCGCATCCTCTGCTGCTTCTGATGGTAAGAATATCAAGAAATTTATTGGTCCGTGGAAGCTGGGTAAAACCTTGGGGGAGGGTGCAACGGCACGGGTACGTCTTGCAAAGAATAAAAATACACATCAAATGGCAGCTATCAAGATCGTCCAAAAGAAGAATGCCCAGTTGTCTCAGGCGGGAAGTCTTGCAAACCTGGAACATTCGGAACAGCTACGTGATGAAGGCGATGGTGTGCGGAGGATGCCTGTAGGCATTGAGCGCGAGGTAGCAATCATGAAACTTATCCAGCACCCGAATATCATGAAAATTTATGACATTTGGGAGAATCGTACCGAAATGTAAGCTCCATTTTCAGTTCGACTAAATTTAGCCTCTAACAATGAGCAGATATCTAGTTCTTGAATATGTTGACAATGGTGAGCTTTTCGCTCAAATCGCAAACAATGGAAGACTGTCCGAAGAGGTCGCAATGAAGTATTTCCGACAACTTTTGAGTGCTCTGGGATATTGTCACTCATACAATATCTGCCATCGAGACTTGAAACCCGAAAACATCTTGGTTACGTCGACAGGAGACATTAAAATCGCGGACTTTGGGATGGCTGCGCTACATCAAGGACCAGATCACAAATTAAGAACTTCTTGCGGAAGCCCACATTATGCTGCACCGGAATTAGTTGGCGGACAAAAATACCGTGGGGACAAGGTTGATATATGGAGCCTGGGCGTAATTCTCTATGCTAGCTTATGTGGACGACTTCCATTCGACGTCGAGGGTGTTGGCAATGATAGAGATCGTCTTAATCCATTACTCAGCAAAATTCGAAAAGGAACTTATGAAATGGCCCCAGAGTTTACCAAAGAGGCCGCAAATCTAATTTGGAGAATATTGCAAGTAAATCCAAAAGAGAGAATTGAGCTCAAACAAATCTGGAAGCACCCTGTGGTTAGAAAGTACGATTACTTGGACAACCTTGGCGGCGGTGAAAGTCTCCCGTCTCTTAACCTTAATGATTGCGGACAGCCAGTGCTACGCCGAAGCGATGTTGATAAGGATTTGTTGAGGCAACTATGGTCCATGTGGCACGCATACTCCGAAGATCAGCTTATTGAAGCACTTTTGAGTCAGAAGTGGGTTACCTCTGCTACTTTGGTTTCTATGATGTATATGCTAATAACGACATAGACCGAACGAGCAAAAGCTCTTCTACACCTTATTGTTAAGATATAGAGATGCCCAGCTTGAAAACTATGAACCCGAGCTGAATTATTCCAACAGTGACTATCATCACATCAGACCACCTACGTTGACAAAAACATATTCTACCTGCCACTTTCCACCACAGACGGGAAAGGGTCATTGCCGCCAACAGCCTTCAAGGTTTACTGTAGTTAGTAATAGATCCGAGAACACTTACGATCCTTTCAATGCTTCTCGACCACAGCACCTTGATTCATGCAGATCTGATGATCAGATCAAGGTAACCGTTCATGCTCCTCAGAATGAAGAACATAGCCGTTACAGACCAACTTCTCGAATGACAACTTCTAGGTCCGTCAGCGATCGGGGTAGACTACAAAAGCCTGTGTCTCGGGTATATGCATCCCGCAGTTCACTTGCTAGCTCTACACGAAGTCGAGGAAGTGCTCCTTTCCGAGCTACGGTAGGACACAAACGTGGTGTGGGTTTCTCACACATCAGGAGACGATCATTGAGTAGTCAAAACATCATATCTGGGGATAGTCCGTTGGCTTCCACGGCAGGAAGAGTGGTAGGAGCTGATGATGGAGCCCCTTCGCGTTCTGATTTTGAGCATTCTACCTCAACACGTTACATCCGGTCGAGAAAGCCACAATCAACTAGTACAAAGATTACTACTACTATGCAAAAATCAGGACGGGGCAGTATATTATGGAAAGAAGATGTTCGTCAACTGAGCAGCAGCTTGGCCAAAGACTGCGATGAAGCATTCAACAGATCTACTGTCGTCTCATCAACTGGCTCCCAGAACAAGTCACGATTTTCTGTGACCCCAAGCGTGGCTACTCGTACCCCATCGCCTATAATTACTGTGTCAGAGACAGGTCGGAAGGCTAAACGCGATTCTCTAGACTTACGACCGCTACCCCCACCACCTGCTCGATCAGATTCTGTCAAGAAAGAACTGTTGGAAGCGCGCAGGCAAGCTACACTTCGACTGACTTCCGGAGAAGATTCACCTGGATACATAGATCGCATGGTATCACATATCGATCGGCTAATGTTACCTCCATCTCAATCCCCTTTGCAAACACGCCAAGATCGTCGAATAGTGTCTGCACCCGCAGATACGAAACAGAGAAATTCTACACGACCATTACCTGCGATTAATGAGGCATATGCTGAAGAGCTATCTCCCCGAAAGGTGGAATCTGATCGCATTGCATCAGCTCCCGAGCCTCGTACATTGAAGAAGAGTTCAAACTATTTCAATGAGAGAGAAACAATCCGGGTAGTCAATGCCTCTGCTGCATCTTTTAGTCCTGTCAAAGCTCCAGCGCCACTCACAATCCGAAAGAAAAGCTCGCAAGGTGGTCAAACGAAGACCAAAATGGGACAATCAGGACCAGAGCCTCTCGATAACTCTCTCAAGAACCAATCATCTGGTCTGGGATTGCGACAACAATATTCTGCCGGCTCGAAGGTGGATGTTGGTCCAGAATTATCTCGTATTGATGAGGACTCCAATATGGACGATTCATTTGCTCAAGACAGTAATGCCGGCACCATAGTAAAGAAGCGTTCAGGTTGGTTTAGACGTAACTCCAAAGCCAGCGATGAGGGCGAATCTAGAAGTTCCTCAACAGTAGGAAATGATACGATGCTATCCCAGTCATCAAGCAAGAGTGGTGGCCGGAGGTCAGAGCCAGGGGGGTTTCCACCAATGCAACCACCAAAGAAAAAGGGATTCAATCTTGGTAGACTCTTTAAGAAAAAACTACCAAAAACCGGCATGACTGTTGCTAGTAAGTATAAATTGACTTGTTTGGCATCGATAGTACTAACAGGTTGATAGCAAACGATATGTTCGACGAGGATATGAGTATTCAAGAATCTATTGCAGATTCTCGACAACATCGTCTGAGCCGTACACAACAGAACACGAGAGCACGCCAGATCGAGCCGCAACAGAACTGGCTAGCCAAGTTATTCCATGTGAAACCCGCTTCGAAATTTATTTGTTTTTCCGTTTCGAAACGTGCGGCAAGATTAGAGATTGCCAAGGTACTGAAAGATTGGAAAAGATATGGCATTAAAGATGTTCAGGTCGATAAACAAAGGAACATAGTCTTTGGCAAAGTTGGTGCAGACAACTGTAAGTTCATACTTCTAAATCATATGGAATATTTACTCACATGATATAGTCTTGAATTTGAAAGAGGTCTCATTCGCCGCCGAGATCCTGACTGTTTTCGAGCATTTGGACCGTGGAAAAAAGACTAATCTCGCTGTAGCACGAATTACACAAGAGAGAGGTGCCGCAAGCAGCTTTCATAAAGTTGTAGAAACTCTAGATTCTGTCCTACAAGTTCGTGGAGTTCTCGTCACGGATGAAGAAAAGAAGAGAATGATGGTGAGGACAGTAAACTCCATGATAAAAGACACCGTTATATCTTAGTCTCCAAGCACATGGAATCTACCAATTTTCGATATTCGATATCGTTAATTCCCCGATTTGGACATTTTGCGTATGGGGATTATATATCTCTACGCTCGCTTGACTTTGGACATTCCCGAAATCCAGGTTTAGCATACAGCAAGCAGTATTTGGATGATACCTGCTTTTTTTTGTAGATATACCATGTTTAGTATAGTGAGTTTCTTTGGCATTTTCATGGCGCGGTGGATTCCTTGAGTTGCTTTGCTTTGCTTTGATGGAGTTGTAAAAAGTAACTTAATATTCACCATAGCGAAAATGGGGATAGAAATAATGATAGATGGAGGTTCTAAGGCGGTTCAGACTCAATTACGAAAAGAAGAGAAAGCGTTCAGAGTTATTGATTCTTTTACTTTGAAATACCTAGGGTAAAATGCGTTCTTTTCGCTTATGTATGTACTTGGGAAATAAGAACTTCTTTGATTTTATATTGATATAGTAGCTCTATGGTTGTGGTTTGGTAACTAGTTCGGCATTGCTCATGATACATTGGGTTTCCGTAAGACCTACATTCAACGATCTTGGCATGATGAAAAGGAACGAGAAAGACTTCACATGTTGCTGATTACTAGAATCAATCAATCTTACTCAACATTACAACTTTTCAAAGTCAAGGGAGAAAGAATACTTGACAAATTTTATAATTACTTGATTCACACCTACTAATCTAGTACCCTACTTTTGAGCTACCCCTCTTTTAGACCACTTTTCCCTATTAAAAATAACAAAAATGAATACTTATAACTGTTTTTTTTATAAATATAACGTGTTTCATCACCCCGTGCACCATATCACCTCGTGCACCACTTTCACCTCAATTCCTATTTATAATCATATATAATTCAACAATTACTTGATCAATTGATTTAAACTAAGCATTATCTAATAATTTAGGATCTATATTATCATTAGAACATATTCTTGCATTATGACCTGTTATTTCACATTTACTACAGCATCGATTAATCGATGCCTCTCTATTAGAATTCCGCCTATTTTGTTGTCTATCGCGTTTAATCTAAATATCCATCTCTTTTTGTGATATAATATCATTAGCCTCTTGAATAGTGAGAGCTTTTTCTAAACGTAATTAAGTCTTTTTAGCATATCGACATTTACTTAATCCCATATTTGTCAATCGAAGATCATGATTCTCAAAAGCTAAAATCGTGACAGTATTAGCTAGGTATTCTATACCCTTAATTAAAGGATCTATAGCCTTAAATATAGGTGTAGGAAAACTAGAATGATGTTGAATAATAATAGATCGTACTAAAAATGCTTGTGAAAGAGCTTTGGTGGTATTGTGAGGTGTTTGTGAGACCCAATCGGGTATATGACTCGGAGGAAGCGAAGGAGGAGTAGGTGTATGGATTCGAATATCCATTCTAGAGAGTATAGCATCGGGATTAAAAGGGACTAATCCTGTTCCTTTAAAGCCTGTTTTCATATTCTCCATTGTAATTGCTTGTTTGTATACAATATTGAATACTATAAAGAATTCGATTTTGGAGATATAATTGATATATATCTATATATACCTCTTAATTTACTTATTATATATGCGTTTTAGTATATTAAAATAATTAATATCAAGAGATTGAATGAGATAACTCGAATGAAATAATAATCCGATAGCTTTAATCTTATGTTCTATACAATAGTTCTGAAAAGAGCCTGATTCATAGCTTTCATATCTATCTAAGACTAGCATTCGATATACACTCTTTATTCGGAGTTTCGTATATTTATCAAAATGCTTTAACCATTCTAAACCCATCTCATTATTCGTTTATTCATTTATAATAGTTTTAACCACCTATTCGGAAGGCATATCCGTCTTACTATATCAATTGACTAAATGCATTTGTCCTTGAACAAAGAAATATGGAGGTATATTCTCCTTTGTCGCATTACCACATACAATCGCTGTCGACCATTCTCTATTGCCTGACTATATTCCTTTACTTTTGCCACATCTATCTACACTAATAATAACCATACTAGAGAATATTACTCCTATTATAAAGCCTATTTCATCAAAATTCCATATATTACACTCTTATATTCTATATTTTGCCTTTATATTTTTAAATAATTAAAATTATTTATTAATAAGCTTAGGATCCTCGCAAAGAGCCTTTTGGAAATCGTAGACACGATTAAAACACATTTTTAGAATATTGTATCGATTCACAAATCGATATGCCCATTATTTACTAATATACTTTCCACCCCTTGATTCAAGAATATGATTCGCCATACTTTCAACACTTATGAATTTAGGACTAAATCCTCGCTCATCCATATCGATTATATGCTGAATAATAACCTCCTCTTCAATTTTAGTAATTTTATGCTGTTTTTGACGATATTCGGAGGTAGAAGTGATCCCTTTCATTCTACGCATGAATGTCGTATGAGTAATATTATAAATCTTGACAACTTTCCGGAGGCTTAAATTTTTATCTTTAGCCATTGCCTCCATCGCCATAACGATATCGCGTTCATTTAATGTCGATACCATAATTATTTATTGATAAATCGCGTATTGAAGTGATTGATGTGAATTGAGGTGAAAGTGGTGCACGAGGTGATATGGTGCACGGGGTGATGAAACACGTTAAATATAATCCTTTGAAATTTTAATTCTAATTTTAATTTTTTATATAATAATAAATTTTAAAATTTTCGGATTTTTCTTATAATTTTTATTAATTGAGATATTAATTATTGAAATCACGATTTTCAATTTGTATAGAATTTTGTTACGACGGGCTACACAACTACCAAGACACGTGATCACAAATGATCAGTAGTGATCATTAAGGATCACGGTATAGGTGATCACTGGTGATCATTAAGGATCACTAAGGATCACGATATAGGTGATCACTGGTGATCATGAAGGATCACCAGTAATCATAGAAGCATGAAGGACTATATAATCAAGATGGATTTCCTTTGTATAGAGCTTCGTGCTCAAGACCAATCATTTAGTATACTCTACTATTAGTTACGAATTGCATATCATCATTGTCATTACTTTAAGTCCCTGCTTGACGCCTAGTTATAAACCACCTCGAGAGCCTAGAGCACTTCCACGTGATCTAGACGGCAAACCTCGTAACATACTATTGATTAAATATTTTCCTATATAAAATTTTATAACGTAACTTATGGTGAACCGGGTCATATGGGGAACCGGGTCACAAAATTCAATTCTCTCTATGTGATCTTGTTCTACGAGCTACACATTCATCCAATTCCAACTCTAAATCACTTGAACTACTCTCTGGCTCTTCTTCTTCAGTCTCCTCTTCTAATTCTTCAATTGGACGTTTACGTGGTCGCCCTCGTGGCTTTTTCTCCTTCGGTTTTTCCTCCGCCTCACGTACCATTTTCAGTACTTCCTCACTACTAAAGACAAATTGACCTTGTAATTTGACTCTTTTGCCTTTAGTTCTCTTCTTTCGAGTCTCAATTACTTCCTGAGCATCAGCGAGCTGTTTCCGAAGTAGGGCTATCTCAGCATTTTGAGATTCTACAAGCCTAGTCATTCTCTTGGCATATCGACGAGTTGGTGATGCAAGAGAATCATTATCTGCTAGAGCTTTATTAAAGGTTTGATTTGCTTGCCTTAGCTCTATCCCATCTGGAGGAGAGCTCCTGAGTATAGATAAGTCTAGATCTTGATTGGACATTCTCATTTGTGGAGTAGAAGGTTGTTGGGAGGAGTTAAATGGTAATATATCGAGTACTTTTCGTGGGGCAAAAGGTACTAAACCAGCTCCTCTCCAACCAGCTTTAATATTAGAAGAATTCAGTGCTTTTTTTCTAATATTTTGAAAGAGTTCTACCCATTCAGCTCTTTGAATTCGCTTTACACCAGCTCGAGAATATCGATCGACCTCTAAAGCATGATATCGTTTCATTGGCCCATACACCGCAATATCAAGTGGTTGAAGCAAGTGGAAGCAATGAGGAGGTAATATAAGTAAATCGATTTCCTTCTCTATACAGAAAGCAATAAAGCTGCCTGTAATATGACTTGAATGACCATCCATGATCAAAAGTCGAGGTCGGTCACCTGACACTTTCTTGGATTCTGGTTCGAAAACCCTTTTTAGCCATTCTAATCCATGACTATTTGAGGTCCATCCATTCGTACTCGTAGAAAACTGCCAGCTTTGAGGCGTGTCCTTTGGAATCCATGCAGAATTCGTATTCTGAGCCTTGAAAATGATCATAGGTGATAGAGCCTTTCCAGCTGCATTGACACATTCAAATGCAGTTATCCATTCTTGCTTGCCAGCTGTAACTTTCCAATTCGATTTCTGAGTAGAATCGACTATAATACGCGTACTTTGAGTACTTCCAACTCCAAATCCGGTTTCGTCCATATTATACATATCATCTAATTCATACTTTCGTTCAATGAGACGCGTACGAAACGCATCAAACCAAGCCTGAATATTCTCCGGAGTTGCCACTTTAGCCCGATTAGACTCTAATTGACGTGAATAGCATGTTTTAAGTTCTGGATGTCGTTTTTGGAATCTATAGATCCATTCGTGGCCTATAGGTGGAATTTCTGTCGAGGTAGGAATTCGAGATGATGCGACCTGAACGCGTCGAAGACGAATTTCGTCGGCCATTTCCTTCACCAACATAGGTGTAGCAGGGAATCCAGTGATGGTAAGTCGTGAAATCCATCGTACAAGAGTATTTTCTTCTGCGTTTGAAAGAATTTGAGCCATTTCGTGGGATTGAGTACGTGATTTCCTTCCAGCGACCCTAGCTATGAGAGTTGACTTAGGAACTTCAAAATACTCTGCAGCCTTTCTAATTGATTTAAAGTCCTTCAATTGAAGTGCAATAATAGCATTCTGTATCTTCTCTTCAATTTGAGAAGGCGTAAGAGGTGATTCGGTATGCATAGCAAAATTTGTTGGGGTTTGAAGTCAGTGATGGGCTAAATGTGACCCGGTTCCCCATATGACCCGGTTCACCATAAGTTACGTTATAAGATAAAATATAAATATTAATAAAAGCCCAATTATAAATAATTTTGAAAATTTACTATTATATAAGTAATAATTTTATATTTAAATTTTCAAGTTATTATTTTCACAAATAAGAAAGTGTGACCGAAAGGGTGTTTATAGACCAGCAATTGTATTTAACTTAGAATCTACAGGTGAAGAGCACCTGTAGATGGGGATAGCTACTCTATATACACACAAATGAATGGCCTAGCCGCAATGGCTAGGCAAAAAGAAGTCATATTTAGCCCTCCAATGATCTTACTTTACCGATAATCATTGATACCTAGTACTTGTCCGGATCTGATCCTCAGGCCACCTAAATCGTATACTAATCCCGAGTAATCGTATCATGTGTGGACATGGTTAATGTACCTGAAGTTTCCTATATAATAAGGGTGGAAGGAAAGCAGGGGTTTCCGTCACAGAAAGTTATAAAGGTTGATTTTCACTGTTTTTGATATAAAAAGATAACCGATATTAAAGGTGGCCGAGAAGTGGGGTACTAGACTTATAATCTATTTATAATCTACGAAAACTAATCAAACTAGCTCCCGCCCCCTCATCTCAAAAAAAAAATAAATCATTATATACTTTATATTTTTTTTAACATTAACTTTACTTTACTCTATTGACAAACAGATAGATTTATTATATTATATTATACTATATATTATATTTTTATAGGCAGGAAAAATAATCAAATTGATAAGATGAAATAAGATGAGATTACATGATGTAACATGGAATTACATCAATATAATACAATTCAAATGACATGATGTGATATGGAATTAAATCAAAGTTATCTAGGTAAGTCTTCCAGATAGATAGATAGATATTTATTGCACATCCAAACACCCTAGCAAGCAAGCAAGATATATCGATACGATATGATATGATACAAACTCCAGGGATCAATCAAGCAATCAATCAATCACCTCGCCCCTAATCCTAAGATCAAAATATTGCAAGAAGGAAAAGTTCAAGTGAAAAAGCAGTAGAGATAAAGTAAAAAAGGTTACTAGTAGGTAGGTAGTTATTTCACTGCATCCATCCATCTCATCCATCCACTCATCAATCCATCCATCCATACTCAAGTACAAAAAAAATAAACAATAAAAGCGAGTACATTTCAAAACACAGTAGGTATTCAGTAATCATCGAATTCAGATATTCCCACGCCAAAGCTCCATTCAATTCCCAGTTCCAGTTCCAGTTCCAGTTTCATTCACATCCCGATATCCCTATCCCATCCATCCGTCTATCTGAGACAAATAGATAGACCAATCATTCATTTCCAGCCCGGCCAAAATCGAAATGTCTTAAAAGACACATATCGATATACAGATCCAACTCCCCAACTCCAAAATAATCCCGCTCCGGTACGATAATATATTCCACATCCTTCCCATATTGAAAGTTGAAAGTTTTGATTTATTTTTTTCCTTGAAAAAAAAAAAATTGACAGAAATATCTGTCGTATTGACCACATACCAACGCCACCAACCCCATCTCATCTTTCTTGAGTTCTGTGCTGTCTTATCCACAAGAAGATGTCCACCCATCCATACAGTATAAGTCATTATCCCACCCAATCCCATTTCAACATATCCAGATAGACATATTCCGTACGCCCATATCCTTTAGTCAAGGCCCCGAATGAAAATCCCACTGCCTATCAAAGTTCATACATCGTTTTGTATTTGTATTTTGTGCTTGCTATCCCTTTGAACTTTGATCTTCAATGAATGAAAAGAAATGAAAAGAAAAGAAATTCGTAAACAGATGTAGGGGGGACTGTCGTTATGACAATTCTTTCTTTACCATCTCGGGACTATCATCATTGGTAGAATCACTTAAGATTTCTGATTTATCAACGGGAGATTGAGAATCTCCATTAGGATTCGTGGTGCTGTTTGTAGGTTTTGATCCACAGCCTTTGACGAGTATATGTCTCTGAATTTTAGGTTAGTTAAAGACACAAGACATTCAATAACGTGGGATACGAACCTTTAATGCATCTTTTCTTGAGAAACTTTTTTCGCAATGACCACAAGGGAATGGCTTCACGGCTAAATGGATACGTTTATGGCGTTTTAAATCATGATTGCGGCTGAAAGATTGTGCACACTGATCGCACTTGAATTGCTTATCATTTTGGGGCATTTGTTGTGGATGATGTCCGCCATACATTGGTCCGGACATTTGTTGAGGATAAGCCATGTTGCCCATTCCACCGAGAAGAGCCATTTGGCTACCAGGTTGGTGGACATTGGACATGATGGGTGCGGCTAAGGTGGGAAGATTGTAATGCGGGAAGGTAGGACGGGAAGGATAGCCTTGGTGGGGGGCACCCATGGAAGAATGTGAGTGGTGAGTTTGGATGGGGGAGATGCGATTTGATGGAGCGGATGAGGTATTTGGTGATTGTTGCGTAGGTGATTGTTGGGCATAGGCGGGGAAAGACGATTGTTGAGGGGTAGAAGATTGGGGGTAGTAACTTGGAGTTGGAGGTGGTCGTCCGCCATAATTATCGGGAGCTTGTGCGCTACCTTGTTGAGATGCTTGAGAGGAAGATTGATGAAGATTCATGAGGTTTTGATTATTCATCTGTTGCTGCTGCTGCTGAGAATTCTGCGGTGCGAGTGTGGGAAGATTTTGTTGTTGTCCACCTGAGCCGGACATTGGGATATTGGTAGTAAAGGGAGGCAGACTTTCATATGAAGGCGGTGGGAGACCTTCTGATGAGGTGGGAGAATTGGGATTCCGTGACCCGGGATAGTTACTCATGGAGGGTGAATATAGTGGTCTATTCATGTAACCTTGTTGTTGTTGTTGTTGTTGAGCATAAGGCGAAGTCATTGGTGGCGCAGAACTAAACGTGAAATTGTTTCCAGACTGAGGATTTGACCAAAAAGCCGAAGATTGATAAGGAGGGACACCGGCGGCTGAACTACCAGAACTACCACTGTTGACACTAGATGCGAGAGGACTTAAACCGTCATGCGAAACTCCAGCCGGAGGTGTTAATATATTGTTAGCGACAGCGGGAACTGGTTGGGAAGAGCTGTGTGTTGTTCCGTGAATATAGTTGTTGGTTTGTTGATATTTGTGGTGGTGCATTCCAAGGGGTTCTGGAGGGGGAAGCTGGAAGCTGGGGAGGTTGGATGCAGCTGGCCGGCGAGCTGTGAAGCTGGCGGTCTCCATAATAATCTAGAAAGATTATTGAGAGAGTACCCAATGGAGGAATCAAATGATGAGAATCTTTTCTTTTTTTTTTCTGCTTTAGAAAATTCAAAGATTTCGTGGTTGTCGCGTGGAAAATGTATGCTTCGGATTGAGATGGGAAATGCGGCGGGTAGATGCACAACCGAGGTGAGGGAACGAGGGAACGATAGAAGTCAAAATGGGGAGTGGGGATATTTCCTTCTGTCGAACTTTTCTTTGCTTGTGATTGTGATTGTGATAGAGATCAGATTAAATCGTAAGGTAAATAAATGATCAAGTAAACAATGAATAAATAATTATTTTGAGATAGAAAAAGGTCCAATCTTTCTCGTTAATATCCTTAGGACAGCCTTGGATATTGAGTAGATGGAGCCAAAAGACGATGGGATATTTTGATGGATCAAGAGTTCAATGGATCTTGCAGGTTCGTACGGATGGGATTGATAGAGGATAGTTACTGGAATGGAGAATGTGGAGTGTCGATCACCTGGATGGCGGCCGGGGAGGCGTCTGCTTGATTTATGTAAGTTATTGGGTCTGGGAAGGATGGTCTGTGCTTGTGGAGGTAGTGTAGTTGTGTAGGGTTGTGTAGGGTTAAGTGGGTTGTCGATGGGTGGATGGTAGATGCTGGGTGCAGATGCGTCTGGCTGGGTCTTTTTTTTTTTTTTTTTCGATTTTTTGGTCGGAGCTGGAGAGGTGAGAGCAGGGCTTTAATATGATTTGGGTTTTGGCTTTTCTGGGCTTCTAGGCTTTTGGGCGACCTCGTGGCAGATGGGGCAGATGGAGCAGATGGAATAGATGGAATAAATGGAGGAAGTGTAGTAAATAGAATACGGGTAAAGTACTTGGATATGGTACTGGTAATAAATAACCTTGAGAAATAGTTTTCGAGGTGATAGATTTAATCAAATGAATAAATCCCATCCAGGTATTCTCGCAGATAGACGGATGGATTTCGATGATGCAAATGTA